TCCGATCAAATAATGACCAACACAAAGGCGGGGGGGGTCTCCGTCCCATATCTTGCTTCAAATGGTAACAACTTAGCAAAGATGAAGTTAGTTAACTTAGATGCCTGACCCAAAACAAAAAACTGAAGCTGAAATTATTTGATCAGTGACTATGGACGAATTTCCGGGGGAAGGGGGAATTTTAATTGCTTTGGGAGACAAACTGACGGTGGCGTATCCAGCCAAGGTTTTTTTTACCCCCCTCCCCCCCAAAAAAATCACTCAGCGCCAACACTTTTAACAACGGTACTGACACCTTCCTTCGAAGGAAAAAGTATTCCTTCAAAGATGAAAAAAAAAGTTGAAAGTTGATTTTAAAAAAAACCCGGGACTACAAACCTGAATACGCTACTGCTACAATCCTGTTATGGTAACATATTTTGTCCGAAATTCTGAACATCAGGACAAGGTTGAATTTAGAACAAAAACTCTGGAAACAAATGACGTAACATTTTGAGGGAATTTAAAGGAAAAACCTGCTCTGATTTTACAAAATTTAGGGAAGCGCACCACTAGAACGTCTCTGGTGGTGTTAGTCTGTATGTAAACTAAAAAAATGAAAGAAAGAACAAGCGGAATGCGAATGGGGAAAGACCCTAAACGGCACGGTGCTGCACTAAAATCATGCTTAGATTGAAAAGTCACAATGAACTTAAAGGGTTTTCTTTACAAGAGGATTTGTGAAAAGATTGAGCAGCAAAAGCGACGGAGGGTAGAAATGACAAATCGCAAGAGGGCAGTATTCAGGTTTTTCGTGTTCAATTCAACTTAACTAGCTAACAAGCGCGGCGCTATACTAATTTTGCTCTAACGGTACCGGTACAAGACCGTACGTCGACACGACGTATGTTACTATACTCTGTTGGTGAAGTGACAGGACGTCGAATGTGGTTTGTCTGTTCTTTCATCCATGGCATAAATAGACGATAAAAAGTAAGTGCCTTCAATTTTACATTGTGCTTTGACTGGGCCCTACCCCTGGGGATCACTGTGAACTTTGTAAAAATAACTGAATAGTTTGGGTCCATCTTTCGAGCGCCAATAATGAATTTCTTTAATCGTCAAAAACGTGCACGTGTGTAGCATGTGTAGGTCCTAGGGCAAGGCATTTTGTACCGTGACTAGGCACCTACATGTACCTACCTGAGGTCTTTATCCTACGTGGTTATTGGGTACATCAAAGCACATAAAGCATGGAGGACTAGGAAAATGTGATCAGTGTAAATGAACCTGGCAGTTGGAATTTTGACACCCTACCATTTTACCAAACTTGAATTTGGAAACCGTTTTGAATTGGAAACAATTTTCTGTCATTAATTCCTAAATACATGTAGTTTGCCAGTGAAAGAAAACTTTTGCCATTTTATTTATCAATTGTTCTCATAAGCCTTATTGCAAATATTGCATGGGTGATTTTGCACGATGGTAGCAAGGCATTGTAGGAAGAAAAAAGGAGCATTTTTGTGCAAAATCACCCGTGCAGTATTTGCGATAAGGCTTATCTATGGTAAGAGTTACATATAAATGTATCCATGGACACCACTTGTCCCTTGCAGTAGTTTATTAGCCATCAGATAATGATAACATTTCCTAAAAAGTGAAATTTAACACTGAAAATGTTGTTCCATTTACATAGAGAATTTACACTAAGGATTTTGTAGACCAGTTTCATATCAGGATTGGAACACTTTCCTATTCTTTTTATGCCTGTTTCAGTGTTTGGTGTCTACTGCCCATGCCCTGCAGGCTAAGGCCTATCTATTCAGTGTTTACATGTATCTTGAACAACTCTTCCTGTGTAACATTCAACCAGCCAAATTGTGCCCAGATAATACTAGCCTGTGTGTTTGTCAATGCATGGAGGAAATAAACAGGCTGCAAATAAACAACCTGCTTGCCTATTAAATTAAGGCCTAGTGGTAGTAATGGAAAGAATGTACATGTATTGTACTACTCTGCTTAGGAATGTGGCGGTGCTTTTAGCATGGAGAAATGTCTTCGACTGCCAGAATTGGTGAAAATTTCACATTTTCTAGCACTTTCTCGTAAGAAATACAGCTGTACATGTAGCTCCTTGATCCTTCAGTTGTGGCTATAACAAAGACTTCCCAAGGCGATGCACACCTTGTAAGAAATTTTAAAATTTGAGTTTAACAAAAATGTTGGAGATGCCCTCAATTGGGCTCAAACTCAAAGTAAGGATAACTTTTTGAGATTTAAAATAGAGGGCACATTTGAACTCCTACTTGTCTGTTTTGTAACTTCATTCTTTCCTAATTAAAAAACTCTGACCTTTCTCATTTTAACAGTATTACATTGTAGGTAGGCCTACATGTATATATAACTTTCTTGCACAGTTGGTGCCAAGTTCAGTGTACATGTAATCTAATACATTAATTCATTGTGCATGCATACGTTGGTCCTTACCTAGTGTGTTGGGTATTGTTTAAGTTGGCATTGCCCTATAATTCCCCTCCTTTCTGTTCCTAAAATAAATCTTGCTGTCACTTGTGTATTACCAGTGGTTTCAATGAGTCTATAGTAACACCATTGCCACAATGCCGCAGACTGAACATTTTGCACACACTTCATGTTTGTTCGTGTTTGTCTGTACCCTTAAGTGCTGTTTATTATTTGCACCACCATGGGCCCCAGATTTGGATATATCCAGTTTGCTAGAAAAATGTAATGATACTCATAAAGTATTGAATGCTAAAAATCATTAAATAAATGGGAAATAAACCTCAATGAGTTGCAAAAAGTTAATGAATCAGTGCTAACAATTTGACGAAAGGCAAGACTGAGTTCTGTAACTAGACTGGCCACCATGTACTTGGCACTGAACAAATTTTCACTGAAGACAAGTGCATTCAATTTGGGTCAAACTGAAACTTACCGAGGGAAATTTTTCAGGGGAATATTTAAAAAACGTGTCGGTTTTCTAAAACTCAAGAATCCTAGTGGCCAATATGGAACTCCATGTCAGTGACCTTTTAGTACACTGACTCCAAGGAAATTGGAATTTTTGGAAAAAGGACCTTTTTTGATGTTTTAATTTTCTTTCAATTTTCAGTCTTCCAATTTATTTTGATGGATCCATGTTGGCTATTGAGCACCCCCTTTATAACTTCCTACTTCAAACTACGGCTTCAGTCCTAACTTAACATTTGTAAGGCTGACCCAGGGCTTATTAGCTCAGTGAAGTGCTGTTGATGGGGCTTAACATACTGTACATGTACATGTACATCAATCTGCATAAAGGGCGTGGTGTCTCTGTTTGAAATGATTCAAAAGAATGTAACGCTGCTTTATTGAAGAGTATTGCATTTGTTAGTCATTGGAGTAAGTTCTTTTCATAAGAGCAACAAGTGTTGCATCAAATTCATTTGCCATCCCCCCCCCAAAATGCAGTTTGAAAGACAATTATTGGTGGCTTGATGTTATAAACTTAGTGATTAATATTGTGACGACACTGACCATACTAAATACTGGGAAATAAAATTTTCACAGCTGGGCTGCTAGTAAAAACACAGCATTTATCTCAGTTATCATAAACAACTACTGTACCTAAAAATAACTTAAAAGATGATCTACATTTTCTTTTGGTGAAAGTAGTTGGAGTTCCACGGTGGCCTCATGTCCTCGTGTCTGGTAAACAATTTCATTTAAAATCACTCTCAGCTCACGTGCAAAAACCTTTTACCGAAGGTTTACGAAAGTTTAAGCCCCTAATACGTTGTGACATACGACAATATCCACGTAAAGTGAGAAATATTATTTAATATCTGTTGCAAAAAGTGAGAAAGCGATCCTTTTTGTCACTTTTATCCCAAGTTACTTTTGTTACTTCTTTAGGTTCTTCACTGATTGTGGTCCTTTTTGTGGACTAATACGGTACATGTACCAGGGCAAGATATGGCATCCAGCCATGGTGACAAGAGAGAGCTCTCTTTCTCAGAGTGGTGTGACAAACAGTTCACCAACATGTACAGCCATCAGGAGTTTGTGTCATCACAACATCAGTCAGTTGGAGAGACTTCCATCAAAGCCCGCCTACAGGTGGCACCTAAGCAGAGTGAAGACAACCTTGGGCACAAGGGACACAAGAGGGTGGGACCTGTAAGGTCGTTTTCCTCTCAGGGCACAAATCCCAGATCCACAGATGAGGCTGAGCTGCAAGCAGCAAAGTCCCCTAGTCTAGAAAGGTGGCCGAAGTTTCCTTCAAAAGTGTCAGAAATTGAAGTGAGTCCTTCAGGCATCAAGTGGTGCAACCAGATGAACACTCTGTCAGTCAGTAATGGTTTGTTGGCAGCAGGCAGTACACCAGATGCAGAAAATACAGGTGTTGCACAGCTGGAGGAAAGGAAGAACTTGCCCAAGAACCAGGGTACGAATAATCAAAGACTTAAACGCTCCATTGGAGATGGTTCTGACAAGATACAGATGATGGAGAAACATGTCAGCAAAGTGTCAGTTGACTGCGGGAGCTCTGGACAGGAGAGCCACACCTCTAAACGGACCTTCAGTGAACTGTCCCCTGGAAGGAAACACACAAAAGGCAAAAAGGGGAAGAAGAGGATGATAGATTCAGGAAGGTGTCCAAGGAAACCAGAAGATGTACAACATGAAGACAAACAGTGGAAGGAAGACCGCAAATCAGCTAGTTTAAGGAGCCAAGCTGAAAGTCTTCCTGAAAAGGAGCAACATGAAAACAAGGAGGGAAGAATGTCCAAGAAAGTTGAGTGGAAATCTACCAAAGGCAACACAGACGTGAAAGTAAAATACTGCAAAGACTGTAAGAAGTCACAGAGTGGCAAAGTACCAGAAGATGAAGCCAAAAGGGTCCCATCAGGCAAGTATGACGTTGAATTGTCAGCAGGCATTGGAAACACAGAACATGAGCTACATTTATGCACTAATGAAGTCCGCAAGACAGGTATCGACGATCGATCCCAGAGGTCTGGTGAAGGTGAAAAGGTAGCCAAAGTTGATCAAAAAACTTCAGGGGACAAGACTTCAAAACTACACCCAAATCTGAGTTCCTGTGACAAGTCAGCAAGTGGCAGCAGTTCAGGCAAATCGATGGAGAGAGCAAAGGGACACAACTCCCAGCGAAGAATGACAGATGTGGAGAATTTAAGGAATACTGGAACACAGTTAGGTGAACAAAAGGAAGGAAAGAAGCTCAGTGCATCTCCTGACTATATTCCTCAGCAATGTCGAGTTACTCGACCTGAAGGAAGAAGCTCCGTGAAATCAATGCAAAATACCAAAGGGGCCAGTATCAAAGACGTCCAGGAGAAGGCAACAGAGGGCAAAATAGCTGGTGTGCAGTCCCCATCACCCAGAGACAAGCCATCTGTTGCAGCACATCACCTCACAAAACGTGTGCTAGAGTCTGTCTTGAAGCCACTGTGTTCATCAAGATCAGCAACAAAGTTACGGCCCAAGTCAGGGGAGTCAGCTAAGACCAGCAGGTGCACTGACCAAACTAGGCAAATGCAGAGAAGGTCACCGTGGTCAGCAACCAAAGTACATCTGGAACACATTTATCAGGCCTTTGGTGGTGTGGAAAGTGGCACATCTGCGGAGGAAGAGCAGTCAATACCTTCAGCTGACAAGGAGTCTGAAGCTAAAGCACGAAATGAATGCTGGGATAACTCTCATCCAGAATGCCCTCAGGACAGAAGGCAACTTCAAGAGTTTCTCCATGAAAAGACACAGCACCAGGAAGAAGCCGATACACAGCCACAGACAGCATCTCCCCGTCAGATGCTGAACAAAGATGGGAAGATGGCAGAGATGGAATGCTGCACTGCGATTCACCCGCCAATTTCAGTCAATGCCAAGGTTGATTCCGGGTCTTCAAAGTCAGATGGACCTTTACGGACTGTAAACTTTGCACCCAAATTTACTCCAAGGACTGTGTCCAGGATTACAGATAAAGTAAAAGGTGACAACAACAATAGTGGAGTGACTAGTGAGAAGAGTTCTGAAGATGTTGCTCGTTCTTCTGTTACGGAGAAGACCCAAACCAAAAATGATTACATTGCTCGCTGGCTGGAAAATCAGGACGAACCACCTCAGAAAAATTCCTTTGAAGTCAGCACCAACCAGAACCTGGAACCCAGTGAAGTGTCAGATAGCACATCAACATCTGATGAAGCCTGGGAACAACTGGTGGACAGCATCATGAAGGGCAATGATGAAGAAGTCTTCAGCAGCCCTTACTCTAAGCGCGTGCAGCAGAAGTGGCGCACCGCTGGCCTAGTGCCAGTCACTCCCTTCCAGACAGGTTCTCTCCCGATGCAGGTGGATTTCAAGCCGACAACTTCAGTGGGACAGAAGAACGTGGCAACTGTGTCACCGTACTGCATCCGCCCTCCTGCTCCTCAACCTACCAGATCTTCTGCGTGCACTTGGTCAGGACCGATGCCAGGCTTCAGGGATGGAAACAAACCCCTGACACCTGCCTCACCACCTTTTTACCCACTGAGATCAGTCCAGGGATCTTTGGATGGCAGCCATGATGCTATGGGCACTATGGACAGCTTGTCTTCATTCCTAGAGAAGCAAGAGTGTTCCGAGAAAACACCAGCTAAAGTTCTTTGGAGAAGCCCTGGTGAATATCCAGGCAAAGAGGACATGTGTCTGTCTCCAACTGTTATGCATACTGATGCCGTCCCGGCTTCCAGTAAAACTCAGAAAGTCCAGTCTATGTTCAACATACCACCACGATTCCTCCGGCTTGCACAGCTCAAAGCCGACAAGGATCAGCCAGTAAGTGTGCGTATGAGCTCTCGTCTGCCTTCAGGCTCAGGATGCGTCTACCCCAAGCAAGTACGCCAAGAGAACTTGGTGTCCACATCAGAGGTGCCAACATGTACCTCAGCACCACAGTCAGCATCCCCAAGCATGGTAGGGACACCCTCCAAATCTTCATACAGATCTTGGATTTCAAGTTCCCTTGGCTGGTCTACCCAGTCACTGAGTCGTACCCCAGGGACCATCACACCAACCAGGTTCACCCCCTGGGCAAGCAGGGCATCCCCCCTAAGTCGCGAGAAGCCTTCTTACCACATACCCAGAGATACAGTGGAACTCAGTCCTGTGGTTGACTATCCCATATGCTCAGTCCCGTATGTGGACACGCATTGCCACATTGACTTCCTGTACCAGCGCACAGAGTTCAGTGGCACATTTGAGAAGTTCTCTAAGGTTAACAACTTCCCCCAGAACTATGCCGGCTGTCTTGCGGTGTTCTGCACCCCGGAAGGGTTTGAGCAGGGAGCTCTGTGGGAGGATCTGGTCAAGGAGAAGAACATCTGGCTGGCGTTTGGCTGCCACCCTCATCACGCCAAGAGCTATGACGGTATCGTGGAGGAAAATATCATCAGATGCATGAGACACCCCAAGGTGAGTTTGAACGCACTTTTCTCAAAACAGTATATGGAATCAAAGGCCAAACTTGAGAAAAAAGTTAAAGAATCCAGGAAATGAATTTTTTTTAGAATCACTTTTTGTGTATCTCTGTACTCTTCTTCCATGTATCTTTTTTGAGTTACATGAACTGACTGGTGCACTTCTTCAAACATTAAAAATTGACCAAGCATTTCTGGACAAGTGAGGGCGCTTTTGCTTAGATGAAAATCCAGGAAGACATTGTTCAGGTTGCATGTTTTCATGTTCACATTGTTAAGCCCAAATTTGCCTTCTGGGAACATTTCTGTGAAAAGGATTTTTGCTGGATTATTGCAATATACTTACACAGCAATAAATTGCAAAAGAGACTGGAATCTGCCAAAGCAGTGGTTAAAAAAATCTTAGATATTTTCTGTGCACAAATCAGTGCAACATTGAGATTCAGTGTCTTGGATGACGTAATAGTTCTGCTCATGAATATGCAAATATGCATTAGCATAAAAACCAAAAAGCATCAAAATATGGGTTAAGATTGCAAAACAAACATTTAAGATGAAGTTAATTGAAACCCAAAGATGCAATTTCAAGGTTTTTTAGTAAAATTTATAAAAAATATATTTCTATTTCCCGGTTCCATAAGTTTCAGGTTACCCAACAACCCAACTTAGAAATCACACTGGAAGTTTTTTATTCCAAAATTTGATACAATTTACACGAATAGGAAAAATTATGGTGCAACCATATGCCTAATTTTTGTGTAAATTATCCTGTATTTCTATTTCCATTTAAAAAATGTTTGGCTTGAAGAAGGGGCTTTTTGTTACACCCACAATCATGTGCTTTCTAAATTTAGACAAGGAGTGGATGCATACATTACTGAAGCATGCATTAACATTAACTCGTTTGGTTAGTTTTACAAATGAGTGGGCACAAATTAAAACGGAAATCATTCCCCACTGTAATATTTTGGCGAAAAATTTAGCCCCCATCATTTCAAAAAACAATTTAATCGCCCTACCCTCCCCCAACTGTTTTTCAAAGTGCATGTAATAAAAACACAATTTTGGGGGGGTTTTGTTTGGCGTAACTGACATGTGTCAAGTAGTATCTTGTAGACTTTTGCCATGTAACATGCAACCTCGACACTGTTCATGTAGTTTTTAAGGTGATTTAACTTTGGAATTTTTTTCCAGTTAGTTTTCACTATTCAGAAGTGAGCCCTCTTGTGGTGGGTTGCATTTTCTTCATGTTAGATGTGTTCATCTTTCTCTGCATAAATTACAGTCTATGAAGTTGGGTTTAGTGTATTTTACTATCACAGTTATGGAGGGTTCCCCAGAAAACGTAACAGATTACAGTGTCACTCGAAAGAAACAGAAAAGAAATTTCTCGTACAACTTGTGAGAAATTTTCATACATGAATGCTGCAACAAATCCTGCACATACATGAACAAAAGGAGGAAGGGGGGGTTGAACGAGCACTGAAATATTGGAGGGGTGCCACGAAATGATGGTGCAAGCAGGCATACTTCAGTGGGAATTTTGGCTGTCGAAATTATTCAAGAATGGCAAAAAAAAGAATTCAAGAAATGGAAAAGGTGTCTCTCTGGCCAACCCCCCCCCCAAATTTGGAAACATTACAGAATGGTGCACCAGACATCTTTACTTGTGGGGGCGGAGAAATTTTCTGTTCTTGCGAGAAAGGACACAGAGATGCATGTAGCTGTACCGATATTTTAGGTCAAACCACAAACTTCTGCTTTCTTTCAGTTTAGCAATTGCAGCCACGGCATACGTTTATAATGGTTCTGTTCTAGAGGCATATGCTGTCATAGTATGTTGTCTAAAAATAAATCATATCTTGCGACAATCTAAAACTTTCCAGTTTTACACTGAAATGTTTGCTAATGCATAACCTGTACCGGTATAGTGAACATTTGCTACTCGTTTTAGGTACAAATAAATGTACGTCATTTTCTGTGATTGTGTTTTTTCTCCCAAGGCTATTGCGCTGGGAGAGATTGGCTTAGATTATTCAAACCGTTGCACATCGGACAGACCTTTACAGCTGGAGGTGTTCCGTCGGCAGCTACACATTGCCTTACAGATGGGCAAACCCCTGGTCATCCACAGCCGTGATGCTGAGCAGGACACACTGAGCGTCATGAAGGAAATGGTGCCCAGAAATTACAAGATCCATCGACACTGCTTCACTGGCTCGCCACAGGAGGCCAGGTATTGCATTGTATTGCACTGCATTGTTCCTGGGCAGATTGACCGAAATCTGCTTAGTCCCACTGAAGCTACCATTTGACCGATCCTTGAGAATTTTGTTAAAATCTTAACAATTGCCTGACAAACTTAAAATACATGTATCTGGGCCGCAATTTTGTCAAATTTTCATGAAGAGACAAACAAGCCCAAAATTATGACTTGAAATTTTTTTAAATTTTTTTTTACAAAAATCAACAAGGTTCTAAAACCAATCAAATTTTACCAAATCTACTGATATCAGCCAAATCACAGTGATCACCATAGAGCAAAGTTCAACTGAACCACATTTCGGTTTCACAAAGAGACTGAGTTGTTTTCCATAGGTATAGTGTTAGCAACAAATACCAAAAATGGGATTAACTCATTTTGCCGTTTTTAGGAAGAGACAAAGTTGACTCCAAAAATGTATACAAATTTAACAGTTTTGTACCTGGTATGCACAATGGCAAAAGTGTGTGTGTTACTGAAAGTTTTGGGTGCTGTTTTCATAGAAGTGTTTGCTCACAATAAAAAGAACACAAAAGCTAGCCTGAGCCCTAAGAGAGGCCATAAAGGTTATGGCAAGAGATTTCCTATTTCTGGCCTCCCCCAAATGGTTGGTTCCCCCCCCCCCAAAAAAAATTGTTTTGAGATCCACCCTTGCTTGAACCGTGTAGTTAATGGGAAAAGGTGGTTCAATATTAGGTAGCTCTCATGCCACATTCTGTGATTGAGGCAGTCAGTTTCAATCGCAAGGTCGTGACGCACTGAAAATCAGGTAAAATTGCAGGTATAAAAGTATTTTTTCCATACAGTAATGATCATTTTTATTCCACAGTGATACTGGCAGTTGTTTGAAAGAGGAATTTTTCCCTCTCTTTCCATTTAATTCTATATTCCCTGCATGGCAGGAACTTTTTCCAAGCATTTCCGAATTCCTTCATCGGTCTGACTGCACTGGTCACGTTCCCCACTGCCTACCCTGTCCACCGCACTGCCACCGAAGTCCCACTCAGCAAAATTCTGCTTGAGACAGACGCTCCATACTTTCTGCCTAAGCAGGTATGAGAAGTGCTTCCAATCAACTCACTTGATTAGAATCAGTGGAATTCATCCATTGTAGTGTGTAAATACACGTGTAACATTTCTGAAGAAGATGGAGAAGGAGAGTCCCTTTGTTTATGACCCATCCATGCCAAGAACTTATCTGGATTGACTTCCCATTTACTCACCATGGTTACAATTGAAGAGAGGCTGTACCTTTGAGGCCAGGCTCTATATACTGGGCTAAAAATTTGTGGATAGGTTATATGAAACTTTGAAACTAACAGTATCAACTCATGGCATTTGTATTCCTTGTCCTTGATCCAGCTCTCAAACAGCAAAACACTGTTGGCACAGTAGCAAAGACTTACTATTGCAGTCTTTGCCAACCACTGGCCTTAATGTTTGAAGAAAAAACAAACTTTTGAAGTACAGAAACCATAGGAATCGGTCATAGTTTAAAAAAAAATCTTGTGCAGCTACTGAAACACTGCAAGATAAATACTTTAGTAAATGTTAAGTGAAAAAGCCTCCCATTTTGATACTGATGAAAATGCAAAATGTGTATTTTGGGGGCAAAGGTTGTTGCAAACCAAGAATTTTGTGCAAACTTTGGCCGCATGTACAACTTGGAGAGGTTGCACAAAGAAGGTATATCACTTTCACAAAAATGAAATGCATTGGTCCACTCTTCTCCAGTGAAGGACCACTGAAAGTTTTTTAAAGTAGTAAGTGGAGCCGTATGCGATTCAGCATTGTTTGGTGAGCCTTACAAAATTGTAAAGAAACAGCTTTTGTGAAAGTTAAATCGCACTGCACGGTTATGACACGAACTTGTTATGGAAAGCTTATACAATGCACAAAGTTGTTGCTGTGAGAGCTTTATTGTGTTCCACAACTGTGAAAATGTTTTTTTCCCTCAAAGATCATACACTTCACACAGTAAAACCACTTGCTTTGAAATAGACTGCATCAGTCAGCCTGCTTAAGCACTCGTTGTCAGACGAAACTGAACAGCAAGCAGATTACCAAATGTAAGCCGATGAACAGTGCACATGGCCTACAGAAATGTGAATTTAAGTGCCCATCACTCTTCTCTTATAAGCCTTTTTCTTCGTCAGTTACTCTTTACTCCTGCCATAGAGCAAGGAACAGATGCTTTAGTCAGGCATGCAACTTTTCCTCGGAACAGCTGATTTCCTCCTTTCTCATTTCATACTCATGCCATAGAAAATTGAAGAATGCTGTACAAAGTCTTGTAAAGATTGCAGTTTCTTCATCTTTTGTCAAGGTTGCATGCCTGTTCAGTTTTGTAGAGACTCAGATCTGTGGAATGCAAAGTTTTCATAGGAAGCAGTTGAGAGAGTGATATTGTTCTCATGAATTTCCATTACTTGCTTTTTGAAATCAGCTGGATTTCTTCCCATTCATTTTATGCAAAAGCGCATATATTTGAAAAAATTTGCATCTTTTTTTGAAAGAAGAAACTCTGCATCACATAATATTTTTCATAAATATTTTGGTGTCGAAAAAATTCTTCCTGAATTGAAGAACTCAACAAATGCGTAGGACTGGTTGTAAAGGTTGGTAGTTTGTTGGTACTGTCGTCCTTCAGCTGGAGGTCTCTAAAACCTACTTGTGTCAATTTTCTTTAGGAAACCAATGTTTTTTATACTTGCGAACCTGCAGTTGCACATGGTGCTAAACTAATACTTCAAAAACTGACACAGTTTTGCCAAGATCTCCATACCCCATTTAGTCGTTCTTTTTTCCTGTTGTGTGTTATCTGCTGCAGTGCCCTCGCACCATGCGTTGGGCTAACCCCAGCATGGCTGTCTTTGTAGCTGTCCGCATCGCCCAGCTTAGGGGCCTCACCCTAGAGGACGTGTTGTACGCTGTCCGGAGGAACACTACCGAGATGTATGGTATATAGAGCACAACTCGTACATGTACAAATGGTCATGACACATTTAGCTTGTGCGGGAAGCTGGTGAAGATGGATGGAGAGAGTTTATAAGTACAGGAGGAGTGTACAGAAGACGACACCTGTCTGGCGAAGCCATTGGTCCACCAAGATTGACTCACAGTCAATGTAGAGAATAATCTCAATTTTGTGGGAGAACACTTCATCTTACTCCATTCCTTTCAGCTTAAAAGCAGTCATAGTATACCAGTTTAAAAGCAGTCACGTTACACCTGCAGTGTTGCGTGGACAGAGTGTCTGATACCACCTTTGATCAAAGAGACATTGTGCATCTACATATGTAAGAGTCACTTTTGGCGAAATCAAAATTCAGGCTGTTCTATGTGTCAATCTGTTAAGGTAACTTCTTTTCTAAAATAATCGTTGGCTGATGTTCCACGCTTACCGTATGTAGCTGTTTTCTTCAATTTATATCCCATTGTGTCATTTTACTCTGTTTCAGGTCCAGTTAAAACTTTAAGGAAAAATGTTAAAAAGTGTAGGTTTGAAGTTTTCCACTTTTGGTTCTGTATGTAATTTACTTATGTGTAGAATAAACTACAGAAAAAAGTGATTTTAGGATTCATAAGGATCACGGGACAGTGGGATTCAATACAGGGTAAGGAAAGCAATTAATTTCAGTTGATCAGTTTTCCTTTGCATTGTTACATATTCTGTTTTTTTTGTTTTACAGAGTCAAAGCCTTGACTGTTGTCATGGATGGTTGACCATTTCACACCAATTTTCCTGTGTAAAAATTTGAGTACTTTATGACTTTTCACTAAACTTGGCCAGTGGATTTTCCAGAGGTCCATTTAGCAAGTGCGTAATATTGGATGCATTGCTTTTTTTTTTTTTAGTTTTAGCAAATTTGGATCTCTTCCCCCCCCCATCCTGGTCTAATTCATTCTGTATCCTTTTGTAAGTTGTACTAACATGACTGATGGACACCAATAGACAGTGAAGTGTCTTCTAACACTGCTGCAGCTAGTGTTGGACTGTTGATGAGATATGATTGATATCTGATGTGTGATCACCTGGTTGTAGAGAAATGAAACAAAACACTTTGCACAGAGTGAGAGCCCCCATGACAAATTTGAAAGGGAAAAGCAAGTATTTTGTTGGTGTTCATAAATTGCGCCTGTGGAAATTCCTGATTGGTTTGTTGTTTGGCTTTGTGAAGTATTGCTTCCAATTTGATTGAATTTCCACCATTGGCAAATGATGGTATTCTATGCTGCAGTGTTCACACCACTGCTACTCCCTAGTTTACATGCAAGTGAAGAAGTAAAAAGTGATTAATGGGAAGGAATTCTGGAACTTTCTTTAGTGCACAACTTCATTAGCAGTGGGTTTTCCTATTTCCTTTAAATTTCAATTCAGATAGTCAACTCTCAATAGTTGATTTTGTCCACTTATTCTTTCGCATTCACTAAATGTCAAGGATCTGTGTGAAAATTTCTGTTTTTAGCAGAAGAGCAGGATTTTTTGCTAGATTAGATTAATCTTATGAATGTTTTAAAGTTTATGTTTTAAAAAGTATACACAAAAGGTAAGGACATATGTTGTGCTTAATATTTTCAAGACACAAGAAAAAACATTCTGCAAGTATTAAGTATCTCACTGAGAAGACTCGTTCACTTTTGCATTAACTTTATTCTTAAGAAATATCAGTTAACTTGCCCTGTATATGAAAAGTAGTTGAAAAAAGGAAGCTTTCATTGAAAACAATTTAATGCCAAGTACTTGCAATTGTTAATTAGTCATGCGGATAGTACCTTTCATTTGTAGAGTATATATATCCCCCCATGCTGCTGCATGCCAGACATATTTGGACATGAAGTCCAGTAGTTTTGCCACTAACTCTTGCCCCATATTACAGGCCACCAACTTGCAAAGTTTGCTAATGGTTACAGTGTTATGTTTTCACTTCCTATGAATACTGTAGACAACCTACATGTATGTAGTGTCTTCAGTGTGTTGCAGGGAGAACAATCAAATGTGTTGTTTGAAAATTAACCAACCAAACAAAATAGCACATTCTCCCTAGTCGACTGGATTAAGTCACTGAACATGAACAGACACTTATAACAAGGTCCTTGGGAGTTTGGAAATTACCTTGTTATAATACTTTCTTTGTATTATCAGAAATGAAAAACAAAGGAAAACAAAGACTTTGGACCTAAAATTGTGCTTGTATTAAAAGTGCTCTTATCTGTGTTCAACTGTAGACAAAAGAGTCATTTTCAAACCATACACCAACAGGTATTCGGGACATTTGGAGGGGGACATCCTGTCAGTGCAGGAGCATCCAAAGTTAGTCATTGTCACGCAGCAAGGGAACATTGAATATTGTATGTGGGATAAACTTTTCTTTTAGTTTGAAATGGGCACAAATTGAGGAGGCCAAATCACTTGTCTTTTCATGTCAATATTTTACTTGTTCACTGAGCTTTTTCATTTTGAAACAGGTAGCCTAGAGAGGTAATGGTGGTATTATCTGAGAAAATTGTCAATGAGATATACGGATGCACACTATCAGTTTCTCATAAAACCTAAAAGTCTTTTCAAACTTGGCAACATTTCAAGCTCAACCAGACGGACCAGAGAGAAGTAAAACCATTTAGGAATAGTTCTTTCATACGGTAAAGGAGTGAGTACGTGGATTTGAGGCATTCTTCTCTTACTGGTTTTGGATTTCATCTGCCAGTGCATGACGCTGTTTATGAATGGCGCTAACAATTAAGATGGTGGGAATTCAGACGCTTTTTATGTGACACTTTGATTGATGAGCATGGAGTTGGAAATTTGTGGATGTTCAATGAATTACTGTTGAATTTTCGTGCAAGAATTTCACATACAGGTTCAAATACTAATAAAGTGTACTTACTGTTTGTTCAGTGATTCAGTCATTCAAGATAAATTCAACACATTTTAGTGGATTCAGTTTAACTCAATTTTACATTAGCGCTACTGTGTTGGTTACTCTCACACAAATAAAGTTGGACTGAAATGACTTAATTTCACTTGAGAAATCTGTCTGGTGGCCTGGATAAGTTGGTCTTCAAAGATGGCAGTGTTCTTGGAGCAAAATGCCAGAACAAGTAAAATAAACACATCTGCTTATTCCATGTATTGTTGAGCTTTCTGTTATCTGTGGATCATTTTCACAAGTAAGAATGAATAAAAGTAACATTAACTGGTTTTGTGCATATTTTTAGACAAGTGATTTGCCCCCCCAAAAAATAAATTACAAAGGAAGCCAGTTCGCTGGAACTGTTAAACAAAATTTAAACCCATTGAAATCGTTTTGCAGTGATCAATTTTGAAAGAAAGTGCATTTTTCAAGAATAAAGATGAAGATTATTAATTAGATGTTGAAAGTTTTCTTACCTCCATGGACACACGGTAATGTAATTTCTTGTGTTATTCTTGGAAAAGACCCACTTGAACTGTTTGTTTAATTACACATCAGATTGGCTGAGTGGTTGGTTTTTATTTGTAACTGCTGATCCTTATTGTACCCAGGACCCTCTGTGGGCATTGACAGTGGAAGGATTGTATTGTTTGTGTGAAGAGCGGGGCAAACATAAGTTCTCTCTTATCACAGATCTCTGACCTTCGGATGGAAACCACAAATACGCCTTGATTCTACCGTATACTCCGGGTAACGCGAAACAAGTACACGTACATTATGCACACATTGATCGTAGTGTTTGCAAATAAAACTAGTACATGTATAGTGCGTCACGTGTACTGTACTTTTTTTAACCGGAAGTTGAGAAGCACCAACCATTCGGCATAGGGTTTCTCTTGTTACCCAAAGGAATCTTAATCTTGGGGACTCCCTTGGACACATTTTTTTCATGACTCATGAAGTACACGATAAAAATTATGACTCATCGTCTTTGAATGTTTCAGACTACATATTTCTTGGCCACGTTGTCATCATCCCAACTTGCCATGCGCAGCTAGCGCAATGCAGCCGAATTTGTCGGTAATAAACCGTAACGATTTCCCCCGCAACAAAATGCTCCGCTCCGCTGCATTTGGGGGCAAATAATTCATACATGAATAGATTATATCCAATTATAGTCGTGATAATCTTGTGTTGCCTCTGTAGAACCAACTGGAAATGCTAGTGACGCTGTTCAAAGTGTGCACAAACTTGCATTAAATAGGGATTTTAAGTTGGTATTTTATACCTCGCGACGCTGGCTCCTCTATCCATCCAACATGTTTTTTACGAGTGCGCAACGTTCATTGTTCTGGCACATTGTTTTTCACTAGTGACACTTTAACCATTTCGTATGGTTTCCACGTTTCAGGGCCACTATCAAGCTATTGTTTCTCATGTTTTGTAAATGTATGTACGGGAACTGGTGGGTTGATTGGGAAATCACCGAGTAGTTTCCTGGATTCAAAATTCCCACGACCTCGATCGGACCATCGGACACGAGACCATGAGGGCTGCAGATATTGACGGAACCGAGGAGGCTACGTCATCCCTGAACTCTGCTGGCGGTCGGCGCCATAGTCATCCAGACACAACCACCATCAATTCCAACAACAGCAACACAGCCAACGAGCACAGTTCAAGCGGGTTGTTGGCGTCCCTGTGGACGAAAATGTCCGAGTATGTGGAGCTTCGGACGTTGGAGTCACATCCTAGTGTCTCCTCGACCGACTCGGGCAGGTTCTCCGGGTCGGAGCTGTTCGACTCGGGGGAGTCCGTCAATGGCTCGGCAGTTGACAGGCAATCTGTGCATTCAGCCGAGCGACCAGTCCAACAGCGAAATGGCCACCCGAAAGAACACAGTCAGCGGAACAGTATCTGGAATTATTTCTTTGGTGGTGGTGGAAGTAGCTCGGATTCCAAACAGTCAAGCAGTGCATCGAAATCTAAACCTCCATCAAGGAAGAACTCGTCGTCTTCACAGGATGCAGGACACCGTCCAAGGAGTGCATCTTACTCATCTCCACCCCCACCTCCTCCATCCTCAACTAATTTCACAAGAGTCAAAGAGAGCATTCCCACCGCTGCAGAGACTGAGTTTGCTGCCAATGGCACCAACACGTGGCTGGAGTGGAACCCCCTGGATGAGGATGATTCAGACAGTTCGGATTCATCATCATTAGTTGCATCGGAGGAGGAGCAGTTGCACCAGGGGACGGGAGAGGGGCATGACTTTGTTCCTGTATATTTAAACTTCACATGGTGTGATCAATGTGGTGGGGTCATATGGGGCTTTCGTCAGTGCCTACGCTGTACATGTAAGTATGGGTGAAAAAGAAACAAGAGACATCAGAATTTAATCTTTTTTGTTACTATGTTAACACATAGCAAAATCATTACTGTGTACATGTATACCTGCATGACAATGCATAATACATTATTTTTACATACAAATGTACAATAAGTTTGTCAGTGTCCGTCAAGGATTGACCCCTTCACCAAAATTAACATCACAGAAAAACAACCCTACACACCCCTTCCACTCCACCTCACCCAACCACAACGAATCAAGGCATCTATACATGTATCAAGATTCATTCAGTCACCAAAACTTGGAACATCAGCTTGTTTTGAAGTACACTGTACATGTATCGCGATAAAACTACATTTGGAGGTAATGTAGTGTACATGTATGTACACATGTAATACATATGTGTACAATTTACCAGCACACTAGGGTATCTGTGTGCATCATGTCCATCATTGTCAATTATGAGGGAGCATTAAAGCATGGATATTTTCAGAAAATGGTTAGAGTGGCTTCCTTGCCCCACTGAAATCAACTTTTGGCTCGTGTTGTACCTTTGGCTCGAATGTACCCCAGTGGATTACCGTACATGTACATCATGTACATGTACTGTAAAATTAAGTCCTACAGCTAGTCAACTGCGAGTTTGTGATCACTTGCACATTACATGTATACATGTAGGTCCACATGTATGTAC